GGGAGGCTGAGGTAGGAGAATCACCTGAACACAGGAGACAGAGGTTGCAATGAGCTGAGATCACGCCACTGTACTCCAGCCTGGGCAACAGAGCAAGACTCTGTCTCAAAAAAAAAAAAAAAAAGTCACCCTTTTAAAGTGTACAATAAAGTAATTTTTAGTACATTTACAAAGTTGTGCGATCATCATCACTATCTAATTCTAAAACATTTTTATTGCTTCCCAAAAAAAACCATACACATTAGCACATTACCCCTACTTCTACCTGCTGGCAACCACTAATTTACTTTGTTTCAATGGATTTGCCTATTCAGGGTAGTTAATATAAATGGATCATGTAATATGTGGCCTTCTGTGTCCATTTTCTTTCACTTAGGATTATGTTTTCAAAGTTTGTCTGTGTTGTAGCACATATCAGTATGTCATTCCTTTTTTGGGTGTGTAATATTTCATTATATGAATGTACAGTACAGCATTTTATTTATACACTTATCAGTTAATGGACATTTGAGTTGGTTTTGCTTTTTTGGATATTGCGAATAATGCTGCTATGAACATTTTTGTATACGTTTTTGTCTGGATATACGTTTTCTATCCTTTTGGTTATATGCCTAGGAGTAGAATTGCTGGGTCACAGGGTAACTCTATGGTTTAACTTTCTGAAGAACTGCCAAATTGTTTTTCAAAGCAGCTGTGACATGTTCCATCCCCACTAGCAGTGTGTGAGGGTTCCAGTTTCTCCACATCTTTATCAACACCTGTTATTGTCTTTTTTTATTATTGCCATGTGAGTGCCAGTGAATGGTACTTCATTGCAGTTTTCATTTGCAGTACCCTGATGACTAATAATGTTGAGCATCTTTCCATGTGCTTATTGGCCGTGGTATATCTTCTTTGGAGGAATGTCTATTCAAACCGTTTGTTCATTTTTAAATTGGTTTGTCTTTTTATTGTTGACTTGTAAGAGTTTTTTATGTATTCTAGATACAATTTCCTGATCAGGTACACAATTGTAAATATTTTCTCTGACTCTGTAGGTTTTTCTTACTTTCTTACAGTGTCATTTGGAACCCTGTGTTTATCATGAAAGGATGTTGGAGTTTGTCAAAAGCTTTTTCTGTGTCTGTTGAGATGATCATGTAGGGTTTTTTTTTCTTTTACTAATATATTGTATTATGTTGATTATAAATGATCAATAAAATATTGATCACTACAATGTGTGTTATATTGATCATTTTTAGATGTTGAACTGACCTTGCATTCCTGGAATAAATCCACTTGATCATGGTATTTAATTATTTGTATATGACGTTAGACTCAGTTTGCTAGTGTTCTGTTAGGATTTTTGCATCTATATTCATAAGAAATACTGGTTTATAGTTTTCTTGTGATGTCTTTGTCTTGTTTTGATATCACAATAATGCTAGCCTCATAGAATGAATTCAGACATGTTCTGTTTTTTGAAAGAGTTTATGAAGGATTGGTGTTAATTTTTTTTTTTTTTTGAGACAGTGTTTTGCTCTTGTTGCCCGGGCTAGAGTGCAATGGTGCTATCTCACGTCACTGCAACCTCCGCCTCCCAGGTTCAAGTGATTCTCCTGCCCCAGCCTCCCAAGTAGCTGGGACTACAGGCATGCGCCACCACGCCCAGTTAATTTTGTATTTTTAGTAGAGATGGGGTTTCACCATATTGGTTGAACTCCTGACCTCAAATAATCCACCCACCTTAGCCTCCCAAAGTGCTGGGATTACAGGTGTGAGCAGCATGCCCGGCCCAGTGTTAATTTTTAAAAGATGTTTGGTGAACATCAGTGAATCCATCTGGTCTTGAGCTTTTCTTTTTCTTTTTCTTTTTCTTTTGAGACGAAGTCTTGCTCTGTTGCCCAGGCTGCAGTGCAGTGGCATGATCTCAGCTCACTGTGGCTTCCACCTCCTGGGTTCAAGCAAGTCTCCTGCCTCAGCCTTCAGAGTAGCCGGGACTACAGACGTGCACCACCATGCCTGGCTAATTTTTGTATTTTTGGTAGCGATGGGGGTTTCACCATGTTGGCCAGGCTGGTCTCGAACTTCTGACCTCAAGTGATTTACCCACCTCGGCCTCCCAAAGTGCTGGGATTACAGGTATAAGCCACTATGCCTGGCCTTTTCTTTTCTTTTGAGACAAGGCCTAACTCTGTCTCAAATCGCTAGAGTGCAGTGGTATGATCGTGGTGGGCTGCAACCTCTACAGCTGGGCTCAAGTGACCCTCCCACTTCAGCTTCCCGAATAGCTGGGACTGCAGGCGTGCCACCATATCTGCTAGTTTTTGTTTTTGTTTTTGTTTTTGGCTGGTGGGATTTGGTAGAGACTGAGTTTCGCCATGCTGCCCAGTGTGGTCGCAACCTTCTGGGCTCAAGTGATTTGCTCGCCTCAGCCTCCCAAAGTGTTGGGAGTAAGCCACTGTGCCCAATTTCTGGGCTTTTCTTCATGGGATGTTTTTGATTCCTAATTCAATCTCTTGTTACAGGTCTATTCATATTTTCTATTTCTTCTTGAATCAGCTATTATAACTCGAGCCTTTCTAGGAATTTGGCCATTTCATCTAGGTTCTCTAATTTTTTGACATACAATTGTTCATAATATGTCCTTATACGCCTTTTGTTTGGGGTAATATCCCTGTTTCATTCTTGATTTTAGTTCTTTGAATCTTCTTGATCTTAATTTATTTTTTTATTTTTAGTAAGACAGCGTCTTGCTGTGTCATCCAGGCTGGAGTGCAGTGGCATGATCATGGCTCACTGCAGCCTCCACCTTCCAGGCTTAAACAATCCTCCCACCTTTCCCACCTCAGCCTCCCTAGTAGCTGGGACTACAGGCATGCACCACCACACCAGGCTAATTTTTAAAAATTTTTGTAGAGACGAGGTCTTGCTACATTGCCCAGGCTGGTCTGGAACACCCAGGCTCAAGTGATCCTCCTGCCTCAGCCTCAAAAAGTCCTGGGATTACAGGCATGAGCCACAATGCCTGGCCTAATTTATTTTTAATTCCCAAGGTTATGAATCAATACATTCTTGTAAAAATTCAAACATTCAGCCTGGGCAACATGGTGAAACCCTGTCTCTACAGAAAAAAAAAAAAAAAAATTAGCCAGGTGGCATGTGCCTGTAGTCCCAGCTACTTGGGAGGCTGTGGTAGGTGGATTGCTTGAGCTGGGAAGGTGGAAGTTGCAGTGAACTGAGATTGCACCACTGCACTCCAGCCTGGGTGACAGAATAAGACTCTATCAAAAAAAAAAATTCAAACACTGCAGACAAAATGAAAGCCTTGATTGTCACCTAGAGCCTCAAACCCTTCCACAGAGGTAGCCCTATTATTGGTTTGATGTAGCATGGTTACTATGTAGCATAATTACGTAGTTAAGCCAGTGCATTCATTTCTGTTGCAGCACAACAAATTGCTATAAATTTTGCAGCCCAAAATACCAATTTATTTTCTCACATATTCCATGAGTCCAGGTACTGGTTGGCTGAGTCCTCAGCTCAGGGTCTTTTCAGGCTGACCTCAAAGTGTTGGCTGGGTTGGTGATCTCATCTGAGGATCTGTGTGTGTCCTTTCCCAAGTTCAGTGGTTGTTGCCAGAATTCAGTTACTTGCATTTGTAGGATTAAGGTGCCCACTTTCTTGTTGACTGTCACCCATGAGCCTTTCTCAGCTCCTAGAGTCCACCTGCCATTTCCTGCCATATGGCAGTTTGCTCCTTCAAGGCAAATGGGACAGCTGTGCTGTGGTTTCAAATCTCTTAGATTCTGTCTCTGACCTCTAGCCCCGATTTAAAGGGCTAGAGTGATAAGATTAAGCCCACCAGGATAAATCATCTCCTTTTTGATTACCTTAAAGTTAATTGGTTAGGGGCTACAATTACATCTTTGTCATGTAAGCTAACCTAATTACAGGAGTGACACTCTATCATATTCGCAGTCGTGTTTTCTTTTAAGGGGATAAATGTATACAAAATTGTGTACACCATAGGGTACAAATCTTGGGATACATCTTAGAAATGGGCCTCTCACAGCCAGTCAGAAGAACTGTCCAAGTAAGCAAGAGGTAATTAATAGGGCCTTTTATAATCAATATAGATATAAACAATCTATATTGATTGTAAAATCAATTTGATTTTTCTGCCTATATAATCATTTCTCCTACTTGAATATATGCTTGCCATGAAACCAATGTTACCAATAGAGGTAATCAATATGGCCTTTTATAATTGTTTTAATCTACATTGGTGATATAGGCAGAAAAGTCAAATGATGCTAAACAAAAGAAAACTGTCCTTGATTTTGGAAGAATTCAACTTGCTGTATATCTTTTGCCTAGGCCTTCAGGCAGCCTTTGCCCTACATCTACCAATGTGATCATTGCTTTTCCTTCTGACTTCCTTTTTTTTTTTCTTTGATCCGAACGCATCCTTCTGACTTCTTTAGGTGGGTCAAGAGTTTGCTTTTCTCCCTATTCACGAGTGTAAAGTTTAATGCCTAACTGAACTTGCTTCCTTCTTTGACTCGTGTGTAGACGTGGGCACACTGGGGCAGCGTTTTTTTGTGTTTTGCTCTACCAGATGATCATCCCTATTCTGTGGGACGAGTGTCTAGCCCCATTTGCTCGGGAGTGGAGCCTAGGATGCAGAGCTGCATGTTACCATTAGGAAGCGCTCCCTCAAGGCCTCGGCTCCGCGTTCTTTGTGTTTCTGGACCGCTCTCTCTCGCAGCTCATCTCTATGATTTCCGTTGTGTGTGTGTGTGTGTGTGTGTGTGTGTGTGTGTGTGTGTGTTTTTTGTCCGGAATAGGCGGGGCTTCCGGTTCCGGTGGGGGCCGTCCCTGGCGGCGGAGATGGCGGCGACAGTGGCGGAGGCCGCGGCGTCTGGCTCTGGAGAGCCCCGGGAGGAGGCCGGAGCCCTCGGCCCCGCCTGGGATGAATCCCAGTTGCGCAGTTATAGCTTCCCGACTAGGCCCATACCACGTCTGAGTCAGAGCGACCCCCGGGCCGAGGAGCTTATTGAGAATGAGGTGGGGGGCGGGGTCGTGTCTAAAGGGAGTTGAGGAAGGTATCCAGTTGAGAAGTCAGAGGCGAATGGTGAAAGAGATGGGAGACTGGAGGGCCTCTAGACTAGGGCCTGTGGGAAGGTGGAAAGAAAGGCGAGGAGATATGGAACTTGAGGGGTTCATGCTAATTAACGGAAGAAACTATTCTAAAGTTGAGAAGTAGATGGGGTCTAGGAGGCGAACCCACCGGCTCCTTGGCATTACTTCATTTGGTGTTTTTCACCTCGTGTTTTCATTTAGGAGCCTGTGGTGCTGACCGACACCAATCTTGTGTATCCTGCCTTGAAATGGGATCTTGAATACCTGCAAGAGAATATTGGCAATGGAGACTTCTCTGTGTACAGTGCCAGCACCCACAAGTTCTTGTACTATGATGAGAAGAAGATGGCTAATTTCCAGAACTTTAAGCCGAGGTCCAACAGGGAAGAAATGAAATTTCATGAGTTTGTTGAGAAACTGCAGGATATACAGCAGCGAGGAGGGGAAGAGAGGTAAACTCCCAAATCGTAGTTTTCTGTTGGATTTAGGGCACTCATTTTCCTTTCCTATACGTGTTTGAAGGTGTGGCAGAATTGGGTGAAGTAGAGATTGGCCTCTCCCATCTCTGGATTCCTACTGAAGGAGAAGTCTGGTCTTCAAGCCTTTAAGGGATTTGAGTTCTTCGTCGTTCTTGGTGCTACAGCCAGCTAGTTCTGTAGCTTGAGGGATGAGGGAATGATTAAACTTGAGCTATGAGTCTCTGGTTTCTCATCTTCTTCCTCATAAAGTGAGAGTTGCCTAGAAGGGTCAGGCAGGTGAATGAAAGGAGTAATATTGTCTGGGTTAAATCAGTGGTGAAGCTGAAGGCATAAGCCGTGTTCAAAGTGAGAAGTCAAGGCTGGGCGGGGTGGCTCATGCCTGTAATCCTAGCACTTTGGGAGGCCAAGGCGGGAGGATTGCTTGAGCCCAGGAGTTGTAGACCAGCCTGGGAAGCGTGGTGAGAGCTAGTCTCTACAAAATTAAAAATGAGAACAAAACCATATTGAGAAGTCATTACTTGACTGTGCTTGCTTCAGTTTTGGAGTGCAATTTTAGGGTTGTGAGATAATTCTGATTTTCAAGAGAAGTTTAAAATCAGGATTTTTATTTAAAATCTTTTGACTTTTAAATGTGAGCAATTAAATTAGATTAAAAAAAAAGTTGCAGGGGGCCAAAGAAAAATGTCTGTCACTGGATTTAGCTCAGAAAGTGCCAGTTTGTAGCCATTGTCCTTAAGTATTGTGATCACTGGGGATAGTTCAACCTCAAAAGTTGTATGGTTTGTTGTGATTTTGGAGTAAAGAAGGTCAGGATTCTCTAGCTTAGGGAAGATCAGATTAGTTTTTCCTAATGCATCAGAAACACCAGCCACACAAGAAAGTGATTCTTCCTCTCTGCTCTTATTCCTGCTTATGAGGACAGCTCTTATGTAGGTCCCAGATGATATTCGGTCCCACACTATAACACTGCCTCTGGGGAATTGCTTTCACTGAGTACTTCACGGTGAATGACCCTCTCACATTTGGTGTCCAATCCTGAGTTTCTCTCTAGTCTCTTGCTACACTCACTCCTGTTCCTGACTCCCTATCAGCAGTCTGTGGCCTAGTGAATGGATTTGAAATATCTTTTTTTCTTCTTAACATTTAGCAGTTGTCATAATGATGGGATTTTTGACCAGAAGAGTTTCCAGGATATGAACTGTGATTGATCTGTCCATGATGTCTTATATATTGGTTCAGTTCAGTTAACTCATGCATTAATTTCCTCAAATTTAACAGTGTGCGTGTGCACACTTCCATACACACACACCCAACATTGAGAAAAAGATTGATTTAAATGATGCAGTAGAGTGTGTAATTCCTTTAAATGAACATATATCCTAGAATGAGCATAAGATAGGTGACTCTTGTGGTTCTTCAGTCACTTGAAGTTTCTTGCCTCCCGTAGTGAGAGCATTTTGCTTAAGAATGAGTGTAACCTGTACTTTAGGGGTGATTAAAGAGTTTTCAAGGAAAACTCTTTAATCGATTGCAAGTTTTGCCCTATCAGCTGACTTTAGCACTGATCAGCTTCACTGTATGATTTGACAGGTTGTTGTGATTATGGGGTAAAATGTATTAGGATCCTCTGAGCTATTTTGAGCATTTACCGTTCTGGTGTAATCCTAATATTGTTTAGATTCATATTTGGGGAGTATCACTGACTCTTTCAAAGTTACTTGCATAATTTTTGTGTGAATATATATATTATTACTATCTTTGGGGAGAGGTGCATTGAGTTGAGGATTCCATGTTACTACAAAGGTAGTGTTTCTGACTTATCAAGATTTCCTATTAAGGCTGGGCATGGCAGCTCACACCTGTAATCTCAGCACTTTGGGAGGCTGAAGCTGTCAAATTACCTGAGGTCAGGAGTTCAAGACTAGCCTGGCCAACATGGTGAAACCCTGTCTCTACTAAAAATATAAAAATTAGCTGAGCATGGTGGCGCACACCTGTAGTCTCAGCTAGTTGGGAGGCTGAGGCAGGAGAATCACTTGAACCCAAGAAGCAGAGGTTGCAGTGAGCCAAGATTATACCACTGCACTCCAGCCTGGGTGATAAAGTGAAACTCTGTCTCAAAAAAAAAAAAAAAAAAAAAGATTTTCTGATTAACATTGCCTTAACATTAACAATTCTAGGCAGTGAGATACCTTTTAACTTTTTTTTTTGTGATGGCCTTGCTCTGTCACCCAGGCTGGAGTGCAGTGGTGTGATCTCAGCTCACTGCAACTTTTACCTCCCAGGCTCAACTGATCCTCCCACCTCAGCCTCCCAAGTAGCAGGGACCACAGGCTTGCACTGCAACCACCATGCCTGGCTAATTTTTTGTATTTTTGATAGAGACCAGGTTTTGCTGTGTTGTCTAGGCTGGTCTCGAACTCCTGAGCTCAGGTAATGTACCTCCCCTGGCCTCCCCAAGTGCTGGATTACAGGTGTGAGACACTGCACCTGACCCCTTTGAGCCTTTTGAAGTAATGATCTCAGGACCAGGACAGAGATGCCTTTGTCTTTTTTTCAGGTTTGCACACTTAATAAATGTCGCTTGTGGGCTTGTTCAAGTGTTTCTGGGTTTTCATATCCCTTAAGTGACTTACAACCTTCCTCAGGTATGTTAGGAGCCTGAGGCCTTTACTTAATAAGCTGTCTTCCTTACTTCAGCTATAAAAGGCTGCAACAGGCTAGGTGGCGGAATTAGCTAAGATAAACTAGGCTTCAAACCAGAGTTCAGAAGCTAGAAACAACAGAGGCTTATTTATCACTGCATGTTCATCATGGTTAACGTCATATTGTTCTTTATATCATCTTATTCGCTCTGGCACTCACATTGCCCTAGCGGCTACTATCTGGAACTTTTGGGTTGCTGTGGCAGAGGGAAAGAGATGTGGTAGTGTGGACTGGTTGGCTCTTAAGTTACAGTTGGAAACAACACATCTGTGGACATTTCCTTGGCCAGAGCAGGTTAAATAAGCCTCTCTTCAAGGGGATGTGAAAGAAAACTCCCACACTGAAGGAACCACCTCTTGGTGAACAGTAATACAATTTACCACAGTGGTCATCAAGGGCCAGAGGAGATGTCTGAGGCTCTGCGGGTCTCTGGAGTAAGACTGAAGACTGATTCATCATTCTAGGTTCTATGGATAGGCTTTTAGGAATCTGAAATTGTGTGAAAGTTCTCTATGTATATGCATTTTTATGGGGAACCTCTGTGGATTCTTTTTATTTATTTGTGTATTCATTTTTTGACATGGAGTCTTGCTCTAGTCACCTAGACTGGAGTGCAGTGGTGTGATCCCGGCTCACTGCAACCTCTGCCTCCCAAATTCAAGTGATTCTCCTATTTCAGCCTCCTGAGTAGCTGGGACTTCTCGAGACTTTTTTTTTCTTTTTTAGTTTTAGTTTTCATTCCACCCTCCTACTCCTTGTATTCGTAAAAGAGTCATTCTGTGACCCAGAAAAGGTTAAGCATCACTTCCTTAAAGAAAAAGTTTGGGGGGCAGATGCGATGTCTCACACCTATAATCTCAGCACTTTGGGAGGCAGAAGCAGGGGGATTGCTTGAGCCCAAGAGTTTGAGACCAACCTGGGCAACATAGTGAGAGCCTGTTTTTTAACAAAAAGAAATAATAAATTAAAAAGTTTGGTGTTGAGCAGAACTCAGTGAAGGAAAGTAAGAATTCAGTTCCATAAGAATCTATGTTGGGTGAGGTTTGCATGACTACATCTGTTCTCTGTGGGAGATGCTGGTATGGATTTGGGTTTGTATTTTCAGATGTGGGGAGGCCATGCCAAGGGCTGTGTGTACATGCACTAATACGATTTTCTTCTTGGGAAACATAGGTTGTATCTGCAGCAAACACTCAATGACACTGTGGGCAGGAAGATTGTCATGGACTTCCTGGGTTTTAACTGGAACTGGATTAATAAGCAACAGGGAAAGCGTGGCTGGGGACAGCTGACCTCTAACCTGCTGCTCATCGGCATGGAAGGTAAGAAATCTTTCAAAAGCAGCATGGCTTGGAGTCATATGAACCTGATTTCTTTTTTTTTTTTTTTTTTCCCGGAGACAGTGTCTCGCTCTGTCACCCAGGCTGGAGTGCAATGGTGTGATCTTGGCTCACTGCAACCTCCGCCTCCTGGGTTCAAGCGATTCTCCTGCCTCAGCTCCCTAAGTAGCTGGGATTACAGGTGCGTGCCATCATGGCCGGCTCATTTTTGTATTTTTTAGTAGTAATGGGGGTTTCACCATGTTGCTCATCTGGGTTTCAAACTCTTGACCTTGTGATCCACCCGCCGTGGCCTCCCAAAGTCCTGGGATTACAGGCGTGAGCATCCACACCCAGCCCTGAACCTCATGTCTAATCCTGTCTCCACCACTTACTAGCTCCATGACTTTGAACAAGCCACTTCACTTTCTTAAACCTCAGCCTACTCATCTGTAAAAGAAACATAATAGAGCCAGGCATGGTAGCTCATGCCTGTAATCCCACCACTTTGGGAGGCCAAGGCAGGAGCATTGCTTGAGGCCAGGAGTTTGAGACGGCAATGAACTATGATTGCACCACTGCACTGCAGCCTGGGTGACAGAGTGAGACCCTGTGTTTTTTTTTAAAAAAGAGAAAGAAATGAAACATGATAATGTCTTCTAAATAGTTGTGAAGATTAAATGAAATAATGTATGTTGAGTCTTTAAGCTAATTTCATGTATTCTAAAATGTGCCCTTTTCCTCTCCTCAGCTGGTATGTACGTGCATATGCTGAGATATTAGGAACCTCTCTGAATTACAGTCATGTGACGCGTAATGACAGGGATACGTTCTGAGAAATGTATTGTTAGGTGACTTTGTCGTTGTGCAACATCGTGTAGTTACGCAAACCTAGATCGTGTAGCCTGCTGTACACCTAGGCTAAATGGTGTTAGCATTTTTCTGTACTGAATATTGTAGGTAGCTATAACACAATGGTAAGTATTTGTGTATCTAAATGTAGCTAAATAGAGAAAAGATATAGTAAAAATATGGTATCAAATACTGCAGGAAAAAGGTGACAAAATAAAAAAATATTATAAGGATAAAAAATGATACTTTGGGAATTTTTTTACTGCCAAAAAAAGTTAAAAAATGGTATACCTGTACAGGGCTGCTCCATTATTATCTTATGGGAGCACTGTTGTAGATGCAGTCTGTTGTTGACCAAAATGTTACTATGTGGCGCATGACTGTACCACTTGTCTCTACTAGATCTGTTTGTATTCAGAAAATTTTTATCCCAGTAAAAGAAGGGAAACTTATTTTTTAATATGAATTCAACTTTATCTTTTAAATAGATAATACATTCATGGAGTTTAAATTCAAACGGTGTAAATAGGTATGTAGTGATAAATATTAATTTCTCTTCCACCCCTGTCTCTCAGCCTTTCAGTTTCCTCCCTGGAAATACCTCTTCCCTGGAGGTATTGCATATTATTAGTTACTGTGCTTTCTGCTAGAGAAATTTATGCATACACTAATAAATATGTGAATGTTTTTTTGTTTTTGTTTTTTTTTTTTCCTTTTGAATGAAAGGAGAGGCCTTTAAACTCCAGTCAGGAGAATGAGAGCTATTTATGAGGCAGGGTCATTGTTTCATTCTTATTTTTATTTCTGGCAGTAGCTCAGTGCCAGGCCCGTGGTAGGTACTTAGTAAAGGGTGAATAACCTGGGTTGAACAAGGAAGCAGAGATGTTACTTATTGTCACTGAGCTCCTTGCTTTCTTCTCGTTTGATTGTCCATTCTTCAGATTTGGATCTTTTGCTGCTGGTACTAATAAAGATTTTCAGCCATATGGCTTGTGAATTAACACTTACCTGCCTCTTTATTTATTTATCTTTTATTGAGACAGTGTTTTTCTCTGTCATCCAGGCTGGAGTGCAGTGGCATGATCAGGGCTCACTGCAGGCTTAACCTCCCAGTCTCAAATGATCCTCTCACTTCAGCCTTCCAGGTAGCTGGGACTATGGGTGTAAGCCACCATTCCTGGCTAATTCTTAAAATATCTTTCTGTAGAGATGGGGGTCTCCCTATTTTGCCTAGAGTAGTCTTGAACTCCTGGGCTCAAGTGATTCTCCCACCTTGGCCTCCTAAAGTGTTGGGATTACAGATGTGAACCACTGTGGCTGGTCTTACCTGCCCCTTTGAAACCAACTGTTGGTTGACCTGCCAAGAAAGAGCCAGTTCTGATTTACTTGACTCTTAAGTCTTTCCGTTGCTGCATTTTCTGTGATAGGGTGCTTGGAAGTGGTTCCCTCAGGTAGAGATGAGAGAACAGCTCTCCTTTGAGGATGCATATGGTCTCTCATCACTTAAGAAGGCATCTGTCTTGGCATACCTAGACAGAGCTGTGGAATATTTTCTAAATTCCATGCCCTGCAAAAGCGTGTGTTCAACTCATGGACTGTGCAAAGGCCAAACAACAGACATGGTCCTAGTTATAAAGGAGTAGATGGAACGTACACTAGGGCACAACTAATTCAAGGTCGCATTTAAAATAATGTGCCACAGGGCATGGTGGCTCACATCTGTAATCCCAGCACTTTGGGAGGCCGAGTCAGGTGGATCAGCTGAGGTCAGGAGTTCGAGACCAGCCTGGCCAACACGGTGAAACCCCATCCCTACTAAAAAAATACAAAAATTAGCCGGGCATGGTGGTGGGCACCTGGAGTCCCAGCTACTCGGGAGGCTGACACAGGAGAGTTGCTTGAACCTGGGAGATGGAGGTAGCAGTGAGCCGAGATCGCACCACTGCACTCCAGCCTGGGCAACAAAGAGCAAAACTTCGTCTCAAAAAATAATAATAATAGTAAAATAATTTGCCAGATTTAAATTATACAACACTTTTCAGTCATCTGATATTCTTCCCTCCAACGAAAATCACTTTTACCAGTGAGCCCCATGTTGCTCTAAGAAGTGTTGTCTTGGCTGGATGTGGTGGCTCACGCCTGTAATCCTAACACTTTGGGAGCCTGAGGCGGACAGTTTGCTTGAGTCCAGGAGTTTGAGACCAGCCTGGGCAACATGGCAAAACCCTGTCTCTTTTAAAAAAAAAAAAAAAAAAAAAAAAAAAACCATTTTTTTTAAAAAAAAAAAAAAAAAAAAAAAAAAAAAATTATTGCATCCCTTAGGTGTATTGAAGTGGGAGGAAAGGTTGAGAATCTTTGAGTTCCACAGGGCTACCCAAAGTAAATACAGAGCTACCTAATCATGCAACTTAGAATGGCTGGTTAACTCCTCGTGTATATGTTGTTCATACCAGTCATTTCTGTTTTGCTTCCCTTGAATTCTTGCAGTGGTCAAGAAGAGTACACATATACACAGTTGATTACCCTACCAGATTTTCGAGTATCATTTTGATATGCTGTTGCTTCCAGTAAGAGCAGCAGCCTTCATTTAGGAAAGTTGACTTAGCTAGCTGATAGTGGACCCTTAACCATTGACGTTTGCTAGATTTATTACTATACAAGTGTAACATCTCATTTTCTGAGAGTTGTAATTGGAATTTCCCTGATTTCTGCTTAAATTTTGATTTGGAACTCTTAGCTGGGAAGGCAGGCTGGGTTTTTGCACTGGGTCCTGTATTCCAGCTTGTGCAGTAGAATCACTGTTCTGCATAAAAAAATGCCTTTCTTCTTACAGGAAATGTGACTCCTGCTCACTATGATGAGCAGCAGAACTTTTTTGCTCAGATAAAAGGCCACAAGCGATGCATCTTATTCCCTCCGGATCAGTTTGAGTGCCTCTACCCATACCCTGTTCATCATCCGTGTGACAGACAGAGCCAGGTGAGCTTGTGTGGTCTGAGAAGGATATAGAACTCTAGATTGTAGGAATGCCTGTGCTGGAATATCTTTCCCCTTCCCCGTAGTGATAGGCCAGGTTTGGATTATAGGCTGGTCTTGCCTTAACACACCAAGAAGATAATTTCAGTGTAGCTTACATATCCAGGCTCCCTGGAGTGGCCAGCGAATGTTTTTGAGTATAGCTAACCCCACAGAGTTAATTCTCAAGCCAGACCCTGTCATTGATGCTGATGACTCTGGTTACTCTGTTTGATTGGCTTATAAGTTCATGGAACAAAATGTTTCCATTGGATTTAATCATTGTTTGCTTTTGTCATGGATACTGTTTCTTTTTGATATGGAAAGGGTGAATAAAACTGAGCTATATCGTTTAATATATTTCCTGGATTTATGTGAGGTATGTGATTGACTGTGGCCAGCCAGAATTATCCTTTCCTTTCTTCAGAAAGCGGTCTAGCTACTTCATGTAGGAGTCTTTACTGGTTAGAATATGTTTTTGGGAGAAAGTTTCTGAAGGTTTGCGTGGAGGATAATTCCTTATATCCTTGGACTGTGGGGTAGGTCCTCCGACCTCAGGAGCACTGAAGGCCTAGAATTCTTTATCATTTAACATTCAAACGTGGACTGTCTTACATTGTTCTCTCTCAGAGTTTAATGTGCATTATATCTTCTGCTGGATATAAATTCTAAAGACTTTTTAAAGGCATTGTTTTGTTTGTTGATTTTTACTACCAAACTGGCACATAATAGTTTTACTGGTAAAGATTTGGTGATTGACTGATAATTTTTTTTCTTTCTCTTGAACCTCTTAGGTGGACTTTGACAATCCTGACTACGAGAGGTTCCCTAATTTCCAAAATGTCGTTGGTTACGAAACAGTGGTTGGCCCTGGTGATGTTCTTTACATCCCAATGTACTGGTGAGAAGGGGGATAGGGCTGGGGGCTTCTTGGGAGCCTTCTTTTCCGTTCCCTGGAAAGCCTTGTCTGTGTCCCTTCTGAGTTATGGCAAGATTGGTTTTATGTGATCTATAGAAATGTTGGCATATCCAGATGTGAGCGTACTGAACTGGTGGGAGTGGGGGACGAATGATAGCCCCTGTCTCTAGAACAGGACGACAATTCTTCAAGTCCTGAGAGATTCCAGATGTTTGAGCCTAGAGAAACTATTCTCGATTCTTTGGTATTTAGAGACTGAACACCACTATCTCTAATCCCATCGTGTGTTTTTTCACAGGATGAGTGTAAAGATACTATCTTCATTATCTTCCTTAACTGGCCTCTACCTAGTTTTTCAGCCCCCCAAGCCCCACTACCCCAAAAGTATCAGTAGTAAACAGGGGCCTGTTTGTTTTCTTGCAGGTGGCATCATATAGAGTCATTACTAAATGGGGGAATTACCATCACTGTGAACTTCTGGTATAAGGTGAATACGATTTGCTTTTTTGTTTTTTTTCCAGACGGTCTTGGGTGAGGTAGGTATAATAAATGATTTTGAATGGGATGGTTGACTATCCCTGGAAGTGATTCCCAGGTGTCTGGGGAGATGAAGAGGGATAGGATTAAATTGGGTTTCTTTCTTTTTTTTTTTTTTTTTTTTTTTTTTTCTTTTTTTGATACATTTTTTGAGACGGAGTCTTGCTCTGTCTCCCAGGCTGGAGTGCAGTGGCGCAATCTTGGCTTACTGCAACTTCTGCCTCCTGGGTTCAAGTGATTCTCCTGCCTCAGCCTCCTGAGTAGCTGGGATCACAGGCACACTCCACCATGCCTGGCTCATTTTTGTATTTTTAGAAGAAAGGGGTTTCACCATGTTGGCCAGGCTTTTCTGGAACTCCTGACCTCAAGTGATCCACCCACCTTGGCCTCCCAAAGTGCTGGGATTACAGGTGTGAGCTACTGCACCCAGCAATAATCGGGTTTCTTAGAAGGGAGGATGGTACTAAGAACAGTAGAGTTACACTGGTGCCTGCTGCTAAAGGCATTTCCTGAGCTACTGCTTCCTTTGTAGGGGGCTCCTACCCCTAAGAGAATTGAATATCCTCTCAAAGCTCATCAGAAAGTGGCCATAATGAGAAACATTGAGAAGATGCTTGGAGAGGCCTTGGGAAACCCACAAGAGGTATGTGACTGTCCCAAAGTGGCACTCCTGTGGCTCAGTGGGTGGGTTGGCTAGGGAAAGTCAGGATTGGAGTGACATTGTTTATAATAGCTTTTGTATTTCAGTATCTGTGTCCTCTCTCTCCATAGAGGTTATGGGTATGTTCAGAAAAATTCTTGTTTTCTAGTGATAGCTGGGCTTGACTGGCGGATCAATTATAATTTGTTCCATGCTAGTGCTAACGTTCCCCATGGGGCTTGTGTGCCATCTGGGGGCTCCCTGAGGGGATTCTTCTGGAGCAGGAAGCGAGCACTAAAGCATCTCCTTGCACTCTCCCAGCTGTGCCAGGCTGCTGTAGGTAGTGTTGAGACCTGCTTCCCACACAGGTGTGCCAGTGGCCCATTGGGTACATGGGGGAGGTATTCGTAGGGCTCTTACCTCCTTCTTGTGGATAACCTCAGCACCCATAGATACCTATGGTATTAGGAGACAGCATCAGCCCCAATTGCTGGTGATCGTTTTTTGAGGATATGGAGGCAGTTAACATTCTGGAAAAACATGCAGACACTCTTGGGTGTTTGGGAATTTTTAGCTCCTCTACCATGTCTGTCAGTTTGGGGCTGACTTCAGTAAGAGACAGGGTGTTGTGAGAGGGAGGAATAGTACAAGATGGACCCATGAGGAGAGAGCTATGTCCCAGAATACTGGGTTGACCTTCAGTAAGATGGGTGATTAAAGGATTCACAAGGTTGTATGAAAACATTGTCCCTGCTGTTGGCTAGACATCTGATGTCTCCAGACACACCCTGTCCAACTCCAGGGCCAGGGAACAGGCAGTTCTGATGGGCTCCTCATGTCTCTTTACAGGTGGGGCCCTTGTTGAACACAATGATCAAGGGCCGATACAACTAGCCTGCCAGGAGTCAAGGCCTCCTGCCAGGTGACTGCTATCCCGTCCACACCGCTTCATTGATGAGGACAGGAGACTCCAAGCGCTAGTATTGCACGCTGCACTTAATGGACTGGACTCTTGCCATGGCCTAGGAGGCAGGTGTTTGGGGCGAGGCAGGGCAGTTGGCACTCCACCCCTATTTGGAGGGACTTCATACCCTTGCCTCTTGTGCCCCAGCACCTTCTCTCTCTGCCCCCCGCCTAAAGTCCTGCATTCGGTGTGTGGAGTCGCAGCTTTTGGTTGTCATCATGTCTGTGTATATGTTAGTCTGTCAACCTCGGAATGTGTGTGCGTGTGTGTGCATGCACACGCATGTATGTATCTGTTCCCTGTTCCTTCTGGGTCAGGATGTCACTTCTGGCTCTCAGCCCTATCTCCTGCAACCTCAGTGCCTCAGCCTGAGAGAGAGAGGAGATTCTCTTGGACCCCCACTGCATCTGGGCTGCAGGGCCAGAGCTAGTCTGACCATTAGGGCAGTCTGCCTCCTGACAGTTTTTGCATAATCAAGCTCTAGGTAGTATGGGAATGGCTACTGGGACTCTAATGGGGTGAATGAGAGGGGAGGCTTGCCTTTGAGAGCCTGGATAGCCTGTGAGAGAGAGGATGTAGATAGGGTTCCAACTGGGACCTAGAAGCTCAAGCCATACATAAAAGGACCTTGGGACATAAGAGCCAATGATTTTGCATAAGTTACAAATTACAGACACATACAATTTCTCTCTTTCAGCACCAGCTCTTGCCCCTATGGTGGGTACCAAGGGAGTTCTCCTAGCTGTGGCTTCTCTGGGTTCTAGGGGGTGCAGGCCTGTGTGCGTGTGTGTGTGTGTGTGTGTGTGTGTGTGTGTGTGTGTGTGTCTAGGTTCTAGGGAGTGCAGGCCTATGTGTGTGTGTGTCTAGGTTCTAGGGGGTGCAAACCTGTGTGTGTGTGTGTGTGTGTTCATATGTGTATGTATCCACACTGGCCTGCCTAGGGGTACAAGCATGTGTGTGTGTATGTGTATGTGTGTGTGTGTGTGTGTGTGTATCCACACTGGCCAGCCTCCCTACTGACCAAGGTTCTCCCACTGTTTACCTTTTCCAGTGGGATAGTACAGTGTGAGCCCCCAGGAAGTACTGCTTGACTTATCCTAAGCTTTTACACTTGGATTTTAGCCATCATATGTTGGCCAGGTCTCACTGCAGCCTGTCCGAGGCTGACTGGCTAGAGCCTCCAGGCCCTACAGTGCTCCCTGCCCAGGCCATATCCTTTACTCCTGCTGAGCTTCCTGGCCGAACAGTGAAATGGGGTCAAGCCCAGGCAGCTCACTCACTACCTGTGATCCACCTCAGGGCACGGGCAAACACATACCTTGCCTCTTAAAGCCAGCGCCTCTGCCAGACCCCATTTAATGTGCCACAACACCCTCAATAGTCAGGGCATCTGGCAGAGCATGGAAGTCGAATTTCCTTTTCTGTTACGAGCTTCTCATGGGTACCCTCTCAGGGCCGCAGCTTACAGGTGGGCAGCTGTGATTGTACAACTTGAAGGGCCACCATTCACATCTGTTCAGTAGGAGTGGGGCCCCTGGGATTGGGCATTATGGTGGCCCTGTGTCTCCTCACCTCTCTTCCCGTCTTCATCCCCTTCTCTCTGGAAGGGAAGAAGAGTTGGAAGTTCTCCGGTTTTATTTTCTTTTGCCAAAGGTTTACTTCCAGCATCTGAGCTCTGGCTCTCACCCCGAAGCTCAGTTTATAGTGCACTGATGGACTGAGAGGATGTGTTTGTATGCGTTTGCATGCCTGAGTTTGTTTTTTGAGGGGCGTTTATTTTTGGTACCTCATTCTGGGGTTCTCTGATGCAGTGTGGATGTGAAGACATGGTACCTTCTGAAGTGTAGCTCTTTCAAATATAGTCAATGCTGGGAAATGTGATTGTAGTGATCTCTATCCCTCTACTTCTTTTGGGAAAGAGGGGTGCAGCAAAGAAAACAAGGCAGACGGAGGATAAATTTGGCCACAGTCACACTTGGAAACACGGTAGATTATCTTCGTTCTCCTCAAGAGGTCTGCTGTATTCCTGGCTCAGCCCTCAAAGATGTGGGTGATGTGTCAAGGAGGTGTGCACTCAGCTGGCCCTCGCTGGGTTCTGTGCTGACACAGGTTTCCCCTAAGGTGGCTGAAGGGGAGGGAAGGAAAAGGCTAATCTTGGAACCTTCACAGGATTGGTCTTGATCCTTGGGTAATACAAGAGTGACCCTGATTTTTAGACACCTAATCTGTGCCTAGTGCTTTTATCTTTGTTCCTCACTATCCTGCAAGGTAGGTATTCTCACAGAGGAAGAAATGGGCTCAGAGAGATTAGGTGATGAGTTACAATCAGTTGTAACTTAGCACTGTTTCCTGCTCCTTCCTTTCCACCAAATTATGTTGATTTTCCTTCCTTACCTCCCTCCTTGCACCACAGGTTCTGTCCTCAGATACCACCGCAATGGGCAGTATCTGAAGGCAGACCCAGCCCAAGATGGTGCAGAATATATAGCTCAGGGCAAAAGCTCTCCTAGGCTCCCACTAACAACAATTTGGAAGAACTGCCTGAGAAGCCATATTATGGATTAGTGCTAGAAGCAGCTATGGGGGAACTGAGTTCTGTCTCTAATTTCATTACGTGTGTGTCCTTGAATAGGACCCATAACTCCTCCCAGCATGCTTTTGCGTCTATAGAACTGAAGCTGTAGTTCTAGATGTCACTATGAGTCTTGGTTCATGTTCAGCTGCCGCTGCTTCTCCCAAGGAAAGGATGAGGTTTTCCTCTTCAATTACCTTGTTTAGGGATGTTTAGGCTCAAATTCTCCTTGCCACAGAGGAAACATTTCTGCTGTAGTTGTTCAACCCCATCCTAGCTGGCAGTGTGGGGTACACAAATACAGCAAGGGAAGGTGGGGGTTTGGACCTGTATAGAGGTCAGCCACGTTACAGCCTGCTGTAGTCACACCAGCAGGTACAGAGAAAACTTGTGTTTTGTAAAGTCAGGTATTTGTTGGGGGGTTGGAGTTCTGGGGATGGAGGAGGGGCTGTTCTAGGCATCAGTTGAGCAGATGCCCAGGATGCCTGGGGGAGACCAGCTTCCCCTACAAATCAGAGCTCTAAATTACAAGGTTTTTACCAACGTGAACAGTTGGGGGAAGTCGTCTGCTCTCATTTGCGTAATGGTTTCTGTCACTGGTGATTAGACACAGGATGAAGGAAAAGAAATTTGACAATTAGGAATGAGCGATCATTAATCTGAATCTGTTAGGAGACAGAGAGGGGAAGGATCCTTATCAGTGGGCCAGCCCAGTGTGGGGAGACACTCCCTCCCTCTGCCCCCAGAGACTAGTCAGCTACATCTTCTTTCAGTATTGCCACAAGTGGACAGAGTTTGTATTTCTTAACAAAGACTAGGGACCCAGTCCCCAGCCTGAGATGGATATAGGAACAGACATCTTTGGGCATGAGCCAACGAAGATAGAAGTAGATGGGTATCAAGTACAAGCTATAAGGCAAAGAATAACAAAAAGTTTTGACATGTATTTGCCATTTGTGGAAAATGCTTCTGTAATAGCACCCCTGATAGCCCACCTGTGACAAGTATTTGTTAAATTCTAGCACCGCAGGGCATGAGGAAAACCTGATCCTTATCAAATCCCAGGAGCCTCTGCTTAGAGGGAGAAATTACATGAAGCAACCAGAAGGTACAAGGCCACACGTGTATATTGTGTGCCCTGTGTGGACAAGATTAGGGACTGTTGAGAGAAGAGGAAACCAGTAGAGAGCAAAGCTCTACCTCCAGGCTCCTCAAAGCCTCTGGGCTCCCCTGAGAGGGCCTCTATTCTAGGCTTCCTAGTGACGTTAATGTCTCCACAACCCCACATCAGTGCAGCTGTGGCTGTGCGGAGGGCTCAGGCCTCTGGCCCAAATGTGTGAACAGTGCTGAGGTTCAGTAATAGCATGAGTCTTCAGGTGCAGAGCAACCCACCTTGGCTCCTCCCATGTCTTTGTGTCACCTTTCACCTTCTGCTGTCCTTTCAAACTTCAAGGACAGTAAGTATACTGCTATTCGTTCCTCAGTTTTGTGACGTGAATGCAGTGAGTTCCTTAGATGAGAGGATCCCTCAAGGATGAAGGAATGGGGGTTGGTGGTTCTCTCTCTTTCGGAATGGGAACTTCCCAAAAATGGAGCTGTGTCTCATCTCAGTAGATTCCCTACCCCTGAGTCTTCCACCCTTCAAAATCTGGTACAGCGTTTAGCAAGGGCTGCAGGGACTGACTCTCAGGAACCAGTTTCACCCAGATAGGATAGATGATGAGGGGTGCCTAGAAGTAGCTCCAGGGATCCAGAGGCCTGGCCTTTCAGCTGGCATCTTACTCCCCCTTGAGACCTCCAGCTGCTTGTCCTCAACCCCCTGCACACTTCGCTGGTGTCTTCTCAAACTGCCAGCTCTGAAGGGAAGTTCCGGTGTCTCTCTCCAGAGCTGCCTGCAGTTTCCCGTATTCAGCTCCCTCTGCCTCATCTCTCCAGCAGCCTCCTCACTGAGACTCTTTCCTAAACAGTTGTCCTTCCCTTAGAAACTCTGTGGCTTCAAGTGTTTGAATAGATCTGTCTTTAGGATCCCTCTCTCTGGGGTCATCCCTGTTCATCTTAGGGCCATCTCCCTTTTTTGATTTTTGACAGCCCTGTTTATTTTGCCCATGGCTAGTCCTCTTGTTCTGTGTCTGCTATGTCTTCTTGACCTTCTGTTGTCAGCTCTGTACATCCTGGTTTAGCTTGTCTCACTCTGGTAGACCTTTCTGCTTGTCTTTAGCCGTCTCGGTTTAATCCTCATAGGTCATGGATGAATGGAGCTTTGCTGAGCACTTTGAAGGCATTTCTTGGGGGCAAAACCTCAGAAACGGGAAGTGGTGAGGCCTGGGAGCCTGTGGTCAGTGAAGCCTCTGGAGATAGGTTAGGGGAGGGCACCTAGGGAGTAGTAGAGGACCAGTTGAGGGGAGAGGTGCAGGAGTTGTTGAGACTTACTGAGAATGGGGCCGGGCCTGGGAAGCCAGTGCGGAAGAACTGAACTATCAAAAGGAGATACCAGTATCCCCTTTGCAGAGTGGTGATGGGCATCACACATGATATATGTAATGTGTTCCCTTCATGGAGGGTTTCCATCTAAATGCATCCGTGTGCCTTAGGGACCAGCAGTTCAGGGGTGATGAACTTTTTTGTGTCTCCTAATTTCTCTGAGGTGTCTTTGACTCTGTGTCACCAAATTTGCCCGGCCTCTGCATCCCAGTGCCTGCTGAAAGGGAAACAGTGTATTGTGTAGTCAGATGTCGGGAGTGGAGTGGTGGTTTTTGTTTTTTTGGTTTTTGGCTTTTTTTAGACGGAGTTTCTCTCTTACTGCCCAGGCTGGAGTGCAATGGCCCTATCGTGGCTCACTGCAACCTCTGCCTCCCAGATTCAAGCGATTGTCCTGCCTCAGCCTCCCAAGTAGCTGGGATTACAGGCATGTACCACCACACCCAGCTAATTTTTGTATTTTTAGTAGCGATGGGGTTTCTCCATGTTGGCCAGGCTGGTGTCAAACTCCCGACCTCAGGTGATCCACCCACTTCGGCCTCCCAAAGTTCTGGGATTCCAGGTGTGAGCCACCACACCCAGCCAGGAGTGGAGTT